ATCATCATCATCATCATCATCATCATCATCATCATCATCATCATCATCATCATCATCATCATCATCATCATCTGTGTTTAGCAATCTGATTTCACTCTTATTTTGACATTATTAAGATCCCTTTACCTTTTCAGCCATTTCTGAACAGCAGAATAACCAAGGGACGGAGAGCCAATAGATATGGGCATCCCTGCTCCCATCAAGAAGAAATATTCAGATGCGTGATCAATGCCTTCTGAAAATTATTAGATTGCATGCCTGAATGGAGCCTGTGTGATTAAGGGCCGCATGCTCCAATACACCAGATGCTGGAATCATATGAATACGTTGCTGACTCTCCATTTGTGAGTTTTTTTCTTCTTGGGTGCTGCTAACAGTCTGCTAGATCAGGGAAAATGTAGCTTGGCTCCCTCCCTCCCCCTCCTTATCATTCCTTTCACACAGTTTGCTTGTGCAGACAGAATGTTTTATTCAGCTTTCCCTAATGTGGAGGCCCATATAAATGCAAGAGCCAGTCGCTGTTTCAAACACAGAGACATTCTTTCAAGCACCCATCGAGGCCAAAGATCGTGATAATATTGTCACCTCTCATTGGGGAAAAACTTCTAAATAGAGCCCTGGGGAGCTCCTGCTGTGTAAATAATGTTGATTTAACCGGAATTAGTTGCTGGAAAATAGAAGGGTAGGAGGGGATTTCATTTATGCAGTGGAAATCAACTCCTTGACCTAACGTGCCGATTATCTTCTGGTTGTCTCCCATTTATCTCCAACTTTCCATCCACAAGCAATTCCTAATAAAAATGTAAAAAGTGGCCTGTAACGCTGGTTTTGTTTCTTTCATTCCTTATTCTTAAGGGATGTGAAGGACAGAAAAATCCCTCTATTAGCCAAAAAGACCCCCCCCCAAAAAATGATGCCAGTTTGCCTCCTTAAAATGAGGGAGAAAGATCAAACGGGCAATTTTAGCATGGCACCAGAAAAGTCCCTTTAGAGGCGGCTATGTATAATGTATGTTTAATAAAGTGGAAGAGAATGAAAATCTTGTTAAAAAGCGCTTTGAATTTCTAATGTGCACGGGTTGGTGTTTTATTAAAATTACAAGCCCTACTCCTTTTTTTGGGGGGGTACCCTATCCTGGCTTTTTCAAGTGAATATTTACAGAGCTGGGTTAATTTTAAATTCTTTGCTTCTAATATTTCAGCTTAAAGACGTTTTGGTTAATCATAGGATGGCTTATGATTAATTATGTGATCTGTTGAACCCTCCAATAGCTATGTTTCTATTCAAGAATGAAACAACAGCAATGAATCAAAGGGCGCATATTCACTAATGAGAACTTAGGCATGATATTATTATATACTTTATTCATTAAACATGAAACTCA